TTGAGGCACAACGCTCTGTTCCAGACCTCACGTGTCATGGGATTACTGAATGCTCTCTTGCATTTTCAGTTCAATGGTTTCAGGAGCTAACACCAAGAGCATCAGCTCAGCCTATAACAGTACCTGCCCATCTGTGGAACCTTGGCAGCTATAGATCAACTGGGCTATTCTTCATTTCATCGCCTCTTACACATGCAAGTCATATCAGTAGTCGTTGCGCTCCTTTAGATAATTTTTGGAGTTTGTGGCTGAGATCAAGGCATGGCCCCTGTGGGTGGAGATCATACTTTGCTTTGAGGTCCATCTTAAATGGGGAGGTTTGTCGCCAGTTATTCTGCTCCTGAGCGGGTGGGTTCATGGAGCCCACTATAGGTTTCCGAGTCAGGAGGGCCTTGGAGGGGTGGACAAGGGAGCTCCCTCCTCCTTGGAATAATTGTATGCCTGTTTCTGATTTAGTTCTTCCTCAGATTTTACACTCCCTCCAAACTGTATGCAGTTCACCCAGAGAAGTGACCCTCTTCCGGATGGCCTTCACATTGGCCTTCTTCATTGTCACCAGGATTAGCAAACTCATCCCTAGCTCTCACTCTGATACCTAAGAGAGGGCCCTGCTGGTATCTGATGTGAAGGTTTCAGATCAGGGGCTCTGAATTCACTTCAGGCAATCGAAGACTGACCAGAAGGGCAAGAGTCAAACCATAACGCTATCATGGGCCCCTCCATGCCAAATTTGCCCAGTAACCTCTTTGACTGACTAGCTTTGACTGCCCAGTAACCTCTTTGACTGACTGGTGGATCGTATCCACCAGTGCCCAGTTATTTGTTTCTACATCCCTTTGATCTCCCCCTAACTCAATTCCAATTCAAGGTGGTGCTGAGTGGGGCACTGAAGCACTCGGGCCTTCCAGCAGCACAATTTTCCACTCATTCCTTCTAGATTGGTACCACAGTGGCTGCTGCATCTCATGGCCTGAAAAGCAATGGGGTACAGCACATGGGCGGTGGTGCTCAGGTGTCTTTAAGTCATACATTTGCCCTCAGGCCAGTGGGCTCCTGGCTTTCCACACTGGGGATCTGAAGGCCAGTTCTCTGGTGCTCTAATGTGTTGTTTTCTGTTGAGCAGGTGGATATCATGGAGATGTCTGGATTACAGGTCAAAGCTTGGTTTTTTGGGCTGATGACATGCTCTACAGTTGGACAGAGATTGGGATGTGGGTCTGGCACAGATGGCGCATATTTGTTGGTTTGGGCATCAAGGGATGTTATGGGGAGCCTTTGTGCCACATGTCATTGAACTTGTTACTACACACCTGCATCCTGCATGCTTCTGAGTCATCTTGCGGAGAACAATTTGGTCCGAAGAATCATCACAGATCTCCATGAAGTCCGACACCTTTTACCATGTCTGGGAGCTATGAGTGAAGCGGCCATCAATGCAGCTCATTACTATCCAGGGGCATTCTAAAGAGTCTGGACTGTGTGGGGGCTTTGTCTGCTAAATATTGTCCAGGAAAGCCAGCAAGAGTATTGATAACTACATGTGAGGGCTGAAGGTAACAAAAGTTTTTTGCTAATGCAAACAAGAAAGCAAAAGTCCATATTACCAATCCAAAGGTCCAGAGAATGGCCAAGCAGTCCGAAGGTCTAGGATTCCAGAGAGGCAAAGTGACAAGGCAGTCCAAAGGTCAAGGGTTTCAGAAGTTCAAGATAAGTGAGCAGGTTGAGAGTCAAGGTTTCAGGCCAAGGAACAAGGAGAGCCAAACCCAGAGGCTTTCGCTAAGAAGATCAAATAATCTCTTGCACTGAGGCAGACCTTCTGCACCTGCTTAAATTACCAAGCTGCAGGAGCTCAACTGAGGCTGATTGCTCTGGTGTTTTTCATAAAGTCTCCTTGAACACTGAAGGCCCTCCCTTTCTACTTGATGCTGGCTGAAGGTAGGTATTGTCCCTTGATCCTCCTCTATGTCTGAAGGTTCTGCTGTTGGGAGGCTTGGCTGCAGAGCCTCCTGCGAGACCACAGGCTCTGTTGGAGGCTCTGCTGGAGCTGACCTGAGCCTGCCGCTGTGGAGTCTCAGCCCGACCCTAGCTCTGCTGGAGCTGACAAAGCAGAGCTGGGGTGGGCTGAGGCTCCACAGTGGCAGACTCAGGTCCCAGAGGAGGTTCTGGCTTGTTCTCCTTGTCCTCTTCCAGGCAGGACATGACAGACTTGAATTGCAACATCTTTACAGGGGGTAACACGGTCCATCTCTCTCCCACAGGCTGTGATCTATATCTGGACTCCATAGTCCAACACATTAAGCAAGTCACTCGGGGGGGGCATGACAAGCTAGGCTGTACCCCCCCGTGGCAGGGCATGCACCTCTCTATGGATTAAAATAGGTCATTAATCAATATATTGTGATTTACAGTGGATCATTGATTTATGATGACAGCTGGTGATTTATGGCCTTATTAGCAGATATGATCTATTAGAGGTGTTGAAGTTTGAATGATTTAAGATATGATTTATGGCTTGATTTATGACCTAAATATTGATATATGATTGATTTATGGCTGGACTTATGATTTATGGTTTGATTTACAGTATGATTTATGATATGGGTGTATACACATATGTTAAATGCATAACAAACAACATGATTGATTTATGGCTGTCAAACTGTGATTTATGACCCTTGTACAGATAAATAAAGTTGTGGCTTATTATTACCCATCAAAGGCAAACAAGCTCCTTTGTGTTGGTGCAAAGAGCCCCTCAACTCATCAGAGGGGCCTCTTGTTTCACTGGCCATTTTGGGAGGTCACTGCTGCAATTGGTGGAGGCTGTAAGAAGTCTTGCTCCTTCCTGTGTCTCCCAGCCAATCAGGAGGATCTTGCAAGATCCCCCAGGCAACCCACATAATCTTGTGAGATTGTGTAATCTTGCAAGATCTGGGTATCCTCAGGCTTTTGCTGGTCACATTCCGGGGCTGGGAGGGAATTTTCCCAGTGCTATATGAGCATGGGTTTTTTGCCCTCCCTGGGAGATTTGTGGCCTTAGTTAGTGTTGTACAGTGTTAGTCATTCTGGGTGTATTCATTATGAAGCCTGTATGTGTATTGAATTTTTCCTAGGTTTAACCTTTAGCTTTGTGATTTAGTGTTGTTTACTGCTTTTGTCACAACTTGGATGGGGTCATATGGGCACCTAGCGGTAGTGGTAATGAATTATATTAAAACAACATATTAAGATTTATGATGGATGATTGATTTATGATGACAGCTGGTGATTTATGGCCTTATTAGCCAATATGATCGATTATAGATGTTGGCCTATGAATGATTTATGACATGATTTATGGCTTGATTTATGACCTAAATATTGACACGACTAATTTATGGCTGGATTTATGACATGATTTATGATTTGATTTACATCCTGATTTATGATATAGGTGTATACACATATGTCAAATGGATAACAAACAATATGATTGATTTATGGCTGTTAAACTGTCATTTATGATCTCTGTACAGATAAATAAAGTTGTGGCCTTTTATTACCCACCAAAGGCAAACAGGCTCTTTTGTACCGGCGCAACTGCTGTAGGGGGAGAGTTGCAGAGCTGCATGTGTAGAGCATTATGATCCATACAAATGATGCAGGATCTCATTAAACTGAGGTTTAATGTTTTGTGCCTACTTTATCTTAAGCCTTTCTAATTTGCTGCTGAAAGACCTGTAGAAATGTAGAAAACCAGTTTTACTAGCACTGCTGCAAGAATGAAAAAAAAATGAAAGCATATTGGATAACAATACGTATTCCACAATGCCACTTCTAACTCTTTTTAACGTTGGCTATCCACACACATAAAGGAGTTATTACCTAGCCCTCCAGGTAAAGCTTTCACCACATGCTTCAGTTGTGCTATTTCCAAAGCTTCCCACAGCATACTGTCTGTACATTTCTTTTCTGGATCCAGGTTAAATCTGAGGGGGGAAATATAGCCAAAGCATATCAAGACTTTAAGCTTTTTGTCAACCGTATAGAGAGAAGCAACATGAAATAATTGTTTTGTTTTGCAGTTTAAAGTACAGGATCCATAAGACTGTGTGTGACAAAGAAACATGTTTTTGTTGTTATTTGATGTAACTGTACATGCTTTACAATATTTAGCTCTGGCCTCCATAAAATAAAAATGGCTGGAATAGGTAGATAAATAAAAATGAATACAAACAGCCATTTCTAAATCATCTTGCTATGTTCAGGTAAACATAGGAAGTAGTTACGTATTTTTCATTGTAAAATCAAACAGTATGTCATAAAAGAAAATAACATGAGGATATGATGGAGGGACACATATAGAAACTCTACAGTTCTTTACTTTGTAGCTTTTGGACCAGGAGTGGATTGTAGACCAAGCCCCAATTAAGAATTAATGAAAACATTAGACTTCTTTTCTTATAAATAACATTTATTTTTGCCTATTGGGAGAACATTTATCTCTGGCTATTGGGAGAACTGAAAGTCCTAATAGCAGCAAGTGATAATTTTGCAGCAAAAATCTGTCCACATTGCAAAGACTGACAGTAGAGAGTATAACTAGGACTCTTCCTAATGGATGACAATATCACTTACCGGATTGTGCCGCTGAATAAAATAGGATCTTGAAGAATGATGGACAACCTGGACCTCAGTGTTTGTAAGGGAAGCTTGGCAATGTCTATACCGTCTATTATGATTCTTCCTGTTGTTTTAAAGCAAAATGCATGTGGTTTATATTCTTCATGGTGTGGCATATTTTTCTAATTAAAATATATCACACTGAATGTAAAGCACTTTTATTGAACAGAAAAAAAGAGCAGAAAAAGAGAGAGTAATACCTTATCACAGCCACAATGATTGAAACTACTTTTTATTCCACTGTAACTGAATGGATATATAAGATTGGGATATACTGTTGTACTGAGTTAACAGTGCTCAAATGTTATTGAAATAAATATTGAAATAAATTAATGAGAGCCAGTGTGGCATAGTGATTTGAGTGCTGGATTACTACTCTGGAGACCAGGGTTCAAGACCCAGTTTGACCATGAAACCCACTGGGTGATCTTGGGCAGGTCAGCCTCTCTCAGCTTCAGAGAAAGGCATTGACAAACATCTTCTGATCAAATCTTGCCAAGAAAATCCCATGATAAGTTCACCTTAGGGTTGCTATAAGTAAGAAATGACTGGAAGGAACACAATAACAACAACAACAACAAATATAACTAAATGCAGGATGTCATCTTAATCTGGAGAGCTGCAGGTAGTTCAGTGTAAACTATGTTGCAATCAAACTAAAAAAATAGCCCTACTGAATTCAGTAAGAACAATAAGTGAAAGCTCAGTGTTCTGCCAGTTCAAACAATGCAGTTTAAAAGTACCTATGGTAATTTTGGTTGTATTGTGCTTTAAGGTCTTATTGCATTTGCTGAAAATACACACATTAAGAAAGCCTACATAACTTGCATAGTCATAACAAATATCAGAACTCTTTTTAAAAAAGAGTTGGAATTTCCAGGATATTTGTATCAGATTGTGCACCAAATACTACAGGTTGAATCAAAAGGTGCCCTGCTGCAAACAGGAGTTTTTCCTTGAATGGAATGAGCCTGGCTCTAGTAGAATTTGCTGAAAATGGAAGTGAAGAGACAGAACTGATTTACTCTGATCTTCCTTGCAGTCACCTTTTATCCTCTTGCTACTCTTTACTCTCCTACTCTTTACAACAGATTTTTTTTGAACTATGGAGGGAGTCAATACCAGAGACTGCACCATTCTATGAGTGAACTTCCAGACACAGTACTATGGATCTAACCTACATGTCATGTGTTATTTTCCATGATTGTGCAGAATCTACAACATATCTTGCCCCTCATGTTTTCTCAAAGGATAAACTGAAGTTTCTCCTATGAGACCAGTAAGAGCCTGGTTATATGAATAGATTCCTGATACTTCTGATGCATTCAGAAAACATCCACAAGTGCACACAGTAGTTCTTTGTTATTTGAATCACTAAAACATGAAAAGAATGGTCCTAGATTCCCATAATGAATCCTAAAGGCACCAGATCCCACTTGATCTTGGAAGCTAAGCAGGTCAGATCTGGTTAGTACTTGGATAGCAGACTGCCAATGAATGCCAGGTGCTATGTGCTATATTTAGAGGAAGAAACTGGCAAAATCACCTCTGAGTATTCCTTGCTTAAGAAAATCATATGAAATTGATTGGATTGTCATAAGTAGACAGACAACTTGAAGGGACATACATGCACATACACACAACTAATATATACTCAAGAACATAAACATTCCAGGTTGCTTCTCTCACTAAAGTTAATGGAACTGTATTACTGATTTCAGGGAGTGCAGCCATGTCTAAACTCTATAAACATGCGAAGATGTAAATGCCATGTAAAAAGGAAAAATGCAAAACCAGACATTTGGTTTTAGGAAAGAGAAGCAAGTAGCTAAAGTCTAACAACATTTTATATTACCTTGGAATCAATTTGGCATCACTCTAGAAGAAAGTCTATAACAACCCCAATCCATGTAACATGAAAATGGGAGGTGCTGCTCTAATACTAACATCCTGATGTGTACAAGTACGTCAGGGGAAGGTAGTCACAAAGGGTCTAGGAACCAATTTTCTCTCCCTGGAACACTGCAAGGGCTATGTGCAGATTGCTAAAAAACCCATGGAACAAAACCACCACCCCTAATCTGAAAATAAGACATTTTTCTGTAGTGTGCATAACTTCACTTCTACTTTTGAAAGGGTAATATTTTAAAAAGTTAAACAGCATAGGGAACCCTGCAATCCAAGTAAAATATGAATTGCCATTTCTGGAGTTTCCCAGGACAGGCAATTCACTGTTTTTTGCCCCCAAAAAGGGAGGAGGTCTGGAGGAGTGGAGAGCTGCAAAAAAGGGCGACAGGGGAGAGGTTGTTTTGCATGTGGTCCCTTTGCTTTGCTTTGAAGTATAGCCTGTTGTGTACAGGTACAGACCCACCTTCAAAAGTGTCAACCATTCTGAAAAAGGCAAGAGAAAAGGATGATTTCCCACTGCCGGTTCGACCACATATTCCAATCTGAAAACCAGAAATAGAACACATGTTTACAACAGAAACAGCAGAGAAAATATTAATATGAGAAAATATTAATATGAAAATAGTAATTTAAAATATTTATTATATTATTTTAAAAGTGAGTCATGCAAACATAGAGTTACATTATCAGTGGCAGCCTACAATCTGGAGAAGACAAAGATAATATATGATCAGTTAAAGATTTGAAAATATTACTAGCTATGCTTATTGTTCCAGAAGTGTTCTAAATGTGAGAAGGATTGTGCACAGACCATTTAACCCACTGGCTTAAGATAGTGGTCATTTCTCTCTTTCTACCGTAAAGTTGCAATTTCTAATGTTTACGGAAGGAGATAAGGGGCCAGACAGTGAGACAGCAGTGCTAGTGAAATATATTCCAATATCCTGCACATTCCCAAATCTGCACTAGTAGGCTAGATAACACTCTGGAGTAAATTAATAGTGAGTGAATGGAGGTACAGTGGAGAGGAGGTGAAAGAGACATCCAGTTGTATAAGAGGTCACAATTAGCAACCACAATTAGAGGAAAGCAATGGGAAACTCCTCTGAATAAATCTTGCCAAGAGAACCAAATAATAGGGTTGCCCACAAGGCAGAATTGACTTGTCCTTTTAGCATAGTGCTAGGACTACAACTGTACGCATGTAGAGTGGTAGGGGGACAGGGTAATAATTCAGTGGATCATACTCTTGTGTAAATATGCTTAAGAACACACTGGAATGATAACAACAACAACAACAACAACAAAACCATTTTAATAAGCAAGCCTCATAAGAATGCTGACAAACATCTTTTAAAAATAAGATTAGCGTAACAATCTTGTGCATCTTATATAGAATGGAGACAATTTGTTAGGATTAATTAAGGAACAACTGCTCTCTGTTTTGAAGATATGTTTTATCCAACACTGAAAACTAAAGACATCATTTTGAGTGTTCATTTCTAAATTACCTTTTGTCCTGGAGAAATGTGAGCATTGACATGTTTTAGCACAGGCTTCAGAGTACTGTCATAGCGGACACTCAGATTCTGTATTTGAATCTCACCCTGGTCAGGCCAGTTCTGAGGAATCTGTGCAGCTGCTATATACAAAGCAAAATACAGTATATAAAAAGAGCAACTGCTGATGATAAGCATGGTATTTCACTGTTCTTCACTGGTAATTATTAAACATTTAAGAAGCCCTCCCTGCAACATATATAGGAGTATACTCACAGAGCAACCCTTCATAGTTTTCTGCTTCTGTTTTAATAAGGCTATTGAATCTTTTCACAGCTCCAAGCTGGAGTTCCATATCAGCCAAGTTGCGAACCATCCAGTTTAAGTAGTTGGATACCTAAAATAAGATTTATCTGTATAACTAGTATATATAATATAGCAGTGATCTCATAAGTCAGACTTCAAAATGATCCAATGTCACTGTTTGCTTTTACAAGAAAAGTGGAGTTCCCATTATACAGAAGGCTAAATACTATGTAGTTCTTCTGTCCTACTGGAACGTTTGTCAATGAGGCTGTAATATGTCAGTATCAATAAAGGCACTGCAATTATACCCTTCAGTTTGTCCTACCCCATATTTATGGTCAGTGTATCAAACATGAAACAATTGAATGCTTAGGCCTATATCTTGCTGCACAGTTTGGGAGGTGGAAAGGCAACATTAATCCTTCCACTCTCTCCCAATGCCTGAAGAGAGTATCTTCATTTTAATTCACTTACCATCAGAGCATATGTTAGTCCCAAGCCTACAAGACCTGAAGAGAGCTTGTTGTACAGAGAGTTTGTAATTGAAGCAACAGCTGCAATGAGTACCACACATGCCCCAATATATTCCTAAAGAAATAATAAGAATGTAAATAACCAAAGTGTAGAAGATGTCATTCTTTTCATTGCTTGTTTATCCTAACTTTTGTCTCAAGCTCTTAAGGCTTCACTTCATTCATTCATTCATTCATTCATTCATTCAAAATGTTTCTGTTGTGATCCATAACACTTCTGGGTGGCTCTCAATAAAATCAGTTTGAATAATTTGCAATGTAATAAAAAAACAATTAAAGTGTAAACATTTAAAAACATTTAAAAATGAAATGCATACATAATTTTAAAAGTTGAAGCATCCATGATTTTGCCTTATTCATTTTATCCTCATAAACTCCCTGACACTGAGTGCAAGTAGCTGGCTCCTGGACATGTCATCCATCTAGTGCAGGACTGAAGATTGTGGGCCTCCAGAAGCCACTGGTCTTGGCTTAGAGGAGACTGTCAGCACATTTACAGATGAAGGGCACCTTCCTTTCCCTTCACCTCAGAGTCTAGATCAGCTGTATCTTCCTCCACTAAACTGTTCTCTCCTCCCTCCACTCCAACCTATAAGCTGCAGCAGCAGCAGTGCCAATTCTTCCCAGGGCTTGACAGCTGCTGGAGAAGAGGATTGGGATATAGTACAGAGCTACAGAACAGCTCATTGTACACAAAGAGGCATACAAATGTGTTAGGTCACACATAAGCACTCATATGTCACCAATGGGAAATTGCCAATGTCTGTTAACAATCCTTGGTCAATATCTGGTGATACAAAAACAGACCAACGATAAATGTTGGAAGTGTAAAGATAAAGTGGGAACCATGTTTCATATGTGGTGGCACTGCAGCAAGGCCAAAAAATTCTGGCAAGACACTGATAAATACATGAGACAAATACTAAATGTTGATATCCCTCTAAAGACAGAAATCTTTCTGTTAAATATAACAGATGAAGTAAACCACAAGTTAAATGGTGAAAAGAAAAACATAATGTTATATATGTTAACTGCTGCATGGATAATCTATGCACATTATTGGAAGCTCCAAGAAATTCCCACAATAAGGGAATGGGAAATAAAACTGTTAGATTTAGCAAACATGGATAGATTATCAATGTATGCAATAAGCAAAACAACAC